AATTGAGCTGTGCCTTTAGTTCCCTTCTCCTTAAAATAACCAATTGCTAACCCCCAAAAAACGTATCCCTAAACACTAATGTAGTTTGAAGTGCCTACTGAAAATACTGTAACTGGAAGTGGCCTATTATACCCTGCAATGAAATGCATACTGTGGACCAATTGTAATGCACAATAAGAAAATGTAGTGTCGCTGAATGTAGACCAAATGTAAGTACGATCAGTAAATTTAGCTTTGTCGAATGTAGGCCGAATGTAACGCTCAATAGGTTAATACAGCATAGCTGAACATAGGCCGAATTTAATGTAAGATAAATAAATGTAACATTGCTGAACGTAGGCCAAATGTAATGCAGAATAAGTAAATGTAGTGTGGCCGAAACTAGGAAAAATGTAAAGTATGATGAGTAAATGTAGCATGGCCAAACATAGGCTGAATGTAATGCTCAATAAGTAAATGTAGCTGTCAGGACTTACCTCTACTCCATCGCTGCTCCGACAGCATTTCCAGGTCATGGCTGCCCGAACGCACGCATGCGCAAATGCCAGGGACAGGCCATGATCTTTGACCTCCAGTCGCGTCACGTCTCCCAGTCAATGATAGATGCCTGGGAGACGTACACAATTGTTCCATGCCACAAGCGCAGCCCTTGGAGGCACGGCTGGAATGAATCAGAATAGACTACCTCTCATGGCAACCCTGAATGACAGACAGCCCCATACACCAATAGGGTGCTATGGGAGCATGTCTGAGTGGGTGTATTACACTTGACACCCTATTTAAACCTTGAACAGCTGAGCTGTTATTGCTCAGTTGTTCAATGCTACATTTCAGCTATACTTGTAATTCCCGATACCTGATTTCCAGAGTTTTCATGACCTTTGGCCTGTCTCTGGTTGCTGAACCTTTGCTGCCTAAATATATACTACTGGACTGACTGACCTCGCTCTTGCCTTGCCTTTGCTGGATTTGTTTGCCCTGAACTTTTGTTTGTTATTTTGTTTTGCTAGTATAAGTATGCACTTTGGGTTCCATACCACTTACCCTAATAGCAGCGTGTCTGAATGTAGGCCAAATGTAATGCACAATAAGTAAATGTAGCGTGGCCGAATGTTGGCCCGGTATAAATACATGCTGTTTGAATAAAGCACTGTCAACTAAATTGGCCAAATACAGGTTGAAAGTTAGTGGCAAGCAAGTTAAATAACAGGGCTAAATGTGGTTGAAAGTCTTCTAATACGAGTATTGTAATGTGGTTGACTGTGCACTAATCTTGAATTGAAATGAAATAATGGACTAGGGGACCATAGACCGCTGGTCTAACTATATACTCACTGTGAACCTCGTGCACAGCTGGCCTGGTGAACATGAAAGCGTAGGAGATCCAAACCGGAAGTTCCTCTTGGTAACAATCGACACAATGGACACAACACAGGATGCAATTGGAGCAGCAGCAGCAGAAGCAATGGAAGGAGGCGGGCTGAAGCTATATATGTCTCCCACAACTCCAAGCTTCTGCCTTAACATATAAATTATATAGCATTGTGGCGACATTGCTGTTAACCCTTAACTACAAGCATGTCAAACTCAAAGGCTAACACGGACCATATAAACAAGGTTTAAGTTTATGTGGGCCGCAAAAAAACAAAAACTTTCGGTTTCATAGAAATAGACACTGGACGTCCTCACGCTTGTAGGGCTTCAAAGTAAACAAAAGAGCAAATGTATTTTAAGGAGATGTCCATTTGAATATAACAAATGTTTCAGTCCAACTACCTTGAAATATTGAGATAAGTTTGGTAAAGGGATTGAAATTATCAATGTATGCTGTTGCACAGCTGTAAAAAACAAATTATGTTATCTTTTGAAGTCCTATGAGTGTGTTCTGCACTTTGGCCGAGATCATCAAACTTGATCTCAGCCAATCCAATGATGTCCCGGAGGAAAGCATTAGGAGGCTTTTGCACATGTGTGGCAAAAAGCTGCGTGGCCAATCAGCATCTCTACGGGCGCCTCTACACGGACCCAATCTAATACACAGCCCACAAATCTAATACATTGCCCCCAAATTCAATACACTGCCCCCTCCCTCTACTCTGATACACTGCCCCCTCCACCCAATCGAATACCCTGTCCCTTAATCTACACTGCCCCCCTCCCTCCACTCTAATTGCATACACTGCCCCTACTCCCACCACTCTAATTGAATACACTGCCCCTACTCCCACCACTCTAATTTAGTACACTGCCATCCCCCAATTTAATACACTTCCCCCTCCCTCCCCAGTTTAATACACTGCTCTCTCCCACTTTGACATACTGCCCCCCCTTTCACCACTAATATACTGCCCCCTCCTTCACCCAATTTAATACACTGCTCCCCTCCCTCCCTTCCTCCCTCACCCAAATTAATACATTGCCACCCTCCACAAATTTAACACACTACCTCTTGCCCTACCTTACAATGAGACGCCCATCCTCCAGTTCCAGCCCTGCTCTTCTCTGCTCAAGCAGGCCAGATGCTCCTCTGGCACTGCGAGCAAGAGGGAAGGGGGCCTGCTCTGCAGAAAGACAGCCATTCTGTGCTCTTGTGGCCGCAGGACCATGCAATAGGCCGTGGGAGCGAAGATAAGAATAAGTTGCAGCCACAACACAAAATGGCCACAGGGCAGGTGGGCTGCAAAGATAGCTATTGTGGGCCGCACGTGACACACGGGCCCGCAAGTTTGATATGCTTGCTTTACTATATATTACCAGCCTCAATTTGCATTTGAATACCTTTGTTACTGTATATATTTCCTGTTAGAGACACACCTCTACAATGTGTAACTCTTTACAGAAAACGGAGGAATTGAGGGCAGACCCAGAACATACATTTCCATGTAGTGGTGCTGCTGTAAAGGACAAAATATATACAAAATACAGATTAAGAAATAACACACAGGTAAAAATACAATTTTAAATTGTACAATGCTACTTAAAATCATCTTAGCAAACAAATACGGGGATTCAGTTACACCATTTTGCATTAAGCCAACTAATACATCACAGTACTCCAATATCGGTGGGTCCTATACTAATTTTGGGAAATTAATATATTAACATACTAACTGCAATACACTTAATATAATACTTAAACGACTTCCAGAGACTCCTCAATTTATGCTTTCCCGTGGTCACCCCCACAGGGGCACCTATAGTGCATGGGTGGGATGCTTAGTAGGAATCTGGTCTGGATTCCGAATATACACAGAAAAAAATTGGAATTGGGGGCACACCCAGAAAATGAATTTCTAACATGAGTTGCTGCCATAGAGACCAAAATACATACAAAATGCAGATTAAGAACAGCGCACACAAAAAGTCCTATTGCGTACCCTTTAACAGTATTCATTTTCTATATGTACCTTTCTCACTAAGCTAAAGTGTGCCTCACTAAACTAAAAGATAGACTCAAACAAGTATGTGTATATGAAGAATATCCTCAGAACTTACATCTCCCAAAGACACAAACAATTATTGATAATACAGAGATACCGTGTACACTGTTTGATAATTCTCTCTGATAATTCTATGTGAATTTTTGACCTACAGATCACTTTCCCTTCTAGATGGCAAATGTGATATGTATAAAAATTATCTATTTTTGTTATAGTGTATTTAATTTTGTAAAAATGTTTACATGTTGCGGAATATGTCATCACTTCATAAATAAAGGTTGATAATAAGCTGCAATCACGAAATGTGGCAATCAAATGTGTATAAAAACTACTGTGTGATTTTAGAACGCAGAATGCACTGATTGGCAAATTGTATTATTGATTTGTAACATCAGAGTTGGGTTAGAATGATAATTAATAGTTTACGCTTCAGAGGCCACATTGACTATATGTAAATGAGCTAGTTATAATAGTTAAAATTACAAATATAATAAATTGAAGTTTCACATAAAATAATGACATTTATTCAAATTTGAATAATAACTTCATCATTGCAATTGCTATTGTACAAAATGCATTTAATAAAAATTACATTTAAATTTTTTTCCAACATGTTTAAAATGATTAGTCTAATTAACTTATTATATCTGTCATATGCCTTAATTGTGCTTGGTAGATTCACTGTTTGTATAAATATGTTTGATTAACATGACTGTTTTTTTTTTCTTTCTGCTTTTTGATTTAAATAAAGTGCTAAAAATGCCATTTAGGGTTAACCCTAAAAATCCCATTTAGGGTTAATTTTTTCAAAATTGTGTAAATGTATTTATTTTTATTTTTATTTTAAAAAAGTGAACAAAACCCATCAAACAAGAAATCTTTTCATAAAGTTATCATGCAACACAGGAATTGCCACCAATGTTGTTCTTCTTATTATTATTAGTAATATTTATTATAGCGCCAACTTATTCAGCAGCGCTTTACATTATTATGGAAGTGGAAATTTAACAATAAATGAGACATTTAAAAAATGATACAGGAATAATTGGTGAGGTATAAATACACAATAGGCAGCAAGGGAGACAGCAACAAACTAGGTGGGAGAGTAGCAGAACTGGAGGTGAGAATGGAGTGTGGCTCTTTAGGAGAGAGAAAGAGACAGATATGTAACATAGAAGTTACTCTGGAAAGCCATGGGCATTTCTGAACAGATGGGCTTTAACCCCTTAAGGACACATGACATGTGTGACATGTCATGATTCCCTTTTATTCCAGAAGTTTGGTCCTTAAGGGGTTAAAGAGACTCCTTAAATTATTGAAAAATAGGGGTGAGTCTGATTGAGGTAGTCTGGCTATTCCAAAGGAAAAGAAAAGTCCTACAAACATGAGTTAGCAGTAAAGGTGCGAGCAGGGGACAGGAGAAGGTCACCAGCAAAGTATAGTGACAGTTTAGGGGCATATCTATGAATTAGTGAAGAAATGTAACAGGGGTTAGAGTTGTTTAGAGCTTTACATGTAAGGGTTAGTATTTTTAATTGACACCTATACGATACAGAAAGCCAGTGTAAGGATCCACAGAGGGTCTAAGTATGGGAGGAGTGACAGGTGAGAAAGATCAGCCTGGTAGCAGCATTCATTACATATTGTAGTGGGGAACTTCGATTTTTGGGGAGACCAATTAGGAGAGAATTACAGTAATCCATGCAAGAGATTACCAGACCATGAATAAACTCCTTATCAGCATCTCGCATAAGAAAGGGGCGGATGCGGGCAATATTTTTAAGGTGGAATCGACCTTTGGAATCGAGGTTTTAGCAATATGCTCGATATGAGGCACAAAGGTGAGGTCAGGGTCAAAGATAACACCAAGACAACGAGCTTGCAGGGATGGACTGATGCAAGTACCATCAAGTTGCAAAGAAAACAAAAGAGGAGGATCAACATTATGGGTAGGAAAGACAAGAACGTCTGTTTCAGAGAGATGGAATTTCAGAAAGCGGGAGAACATCCAAACAGAGATTGAAATAACTTTAAACACTAGCAAGGATAATGCAAATAATCTTTAGTAAATTATGGCATATTGCCTTCATTAAATATTATTGCGTGCAACTGGAAAGTATTACACATTTGACACGTATATGTTTTAACATATATAATTTAAGAAATGTTATATTATTATATTATTAGCCATAAGTTATAAGGGCTACATTGTCTGCATGCTTATGGTAATGGGGAAGCACAGTTGACCAGAGGAATGACAGAGAATTGGATGCAGCTAATTAATATACTTAGAAATCACCCCTACCTATCCTCATATATGCAGTGCCACACTTCAATGTAGTGCTGTGTTCAATTTGACAATATAAAGAGCATTTTGTAAATACATTGCAATCCTGAATGTTAAGTAAATATGTATGTGAAAATGCAAAGAAAGAAAATTGGTTATGATTTTTTTGTTCATGGGCTTTTAGCAGAGATTTACTCTAAAATAAAATATCCTATAAACAGTTTTATTATTCTTACATTCATAACGTGATTTCATAATTACCAATGTTAATAGTTTTGGCCAATGGCAATTTGGATTCATCAATCTCAAAATTATATAATTAATAACAGAAAAAAAAAAACCACTCTATTTAATGCCTAGAGGTTCTTTTTCCAATTAAACTGGGTAATGCTAGAAATTGGGTGTAGATATATTGCTATATAAATACGGATGAGACCTACCATCTATAAATTTTACAGGGTTTATTCATTGAACTGTGATATGTCTTTACTCTCAACTTGTGAAACATAGAACAAAGTAATGGAGTTTGCAAAGATTTGGAGAATACTTGTTCCAATTTAGATTGCTGTAAAATGTACAAATCTTCTTTCTACTCCTTCAAATTAACGAATAAATCCCCATGTTTCCTTTGTGTATTCATTTTTCTTTTATGGGCTCAAAAACCTTTACATTAACTTAGGCACAAATTTCCAATTTCCATTATATATTATTTTTATGTGACTTTATTTCTATCTACTGTACTACCAATAAAAAATGTCTATTTTTAGCGATTTGTCACACTTATTGTGGGAGGTCAGTATATGAGACTAAAAGATATTTTATTAAAAAGTTAATTCTTGTGATTTGAAATTTTAAATTGTTTGCCAAAATAACTGCATTAGATAAATTCTATGATTCAGCTATTTTTGTAACTTGACCTAGATTTATGAAAAATGATTTTAAATTTATGACAATTCACATTTCTTGAATAAACCCCTAGATATTAAATTATCAGTAAAATATATTGTAATTGTAAGATATATTGCAATTGCACAATATTTTAATATCTGTATTAAAGGATCACTATAGTGTCAGGAAAACAAACTTGTTTTCCTGACACTATATAATTCTTAGGGTCCCCCCACCCTCAGGGCCCCCCTCCCGCTGGGCTGAAGTGGTTAAAACCACTTCAACCACTTACCTTTATCCAGCGCTGGGCTCCCTTAGTGCTGGTGACGTCTCCTCCCACTCCGACGTCAAATCTTATATGGATCCGAATGCGCATGCGCGGCCAGAGCTGCGTGCGCATTAAAAACACCCATAGGAAAGCATTTCTCAATGCTTTCCTATGGAAGTTCTACGTGCTCAATGCGATTTTCGCATTGAGCGTCACAGAAGTGCCTCTAGCGGCTGTCAGGAAGAAACTGCTATGTTTACAGCTGCAGGGTAAAAACCAGGGGGACCTTGCACCCAGACCACTTCATTGAGCAGAAGTGGTCTTGGTGACTATAGTGGTCCTTTAAGCACAATAATCATATACTGAAACTTAGCAACTTCAACAGATGTGTGGAAAAAAAGTGAAATATATTTGTAAATCTCACATACCTATCTTACATAGTTACATAGTTACAGAGGCTGAAAAGAGACATGTGTCCATCAAGTTCAGCCTTCCTCACATTTGGTTTTTGCTGTTGATCGAAAAGAAGATTTATCCTTGGATCAAGAAGCTATTACCCTACATTTAAAAAATTATATAATTGAATATTCTGTTTTTGCAAGTATGCATCTAGTTGCTGTTTAAACATCTGTACGCACTCTGATAAAACCACTTCTTCAGGCAGAGAATTCCATATCCTTATAGTTCTTATGGTAAAAAACCTTTCCTTTGCCTTAGACTAAGTATTCTTTTTTCCAGTCTAAACGCATTACCTTATGTCCTATGTAAAGTCCTGTTTGTGAAAAGATTTCCATGCAAATGTTTGTATTGGCCCCGGATATATTTGTATAATGGTATCATATCTCCTCTGAGCTGACGTTTTTCTAAAATTTTCTTCATAGCTGATATGTTCCGTTCCTTTTATTAATTTTGTAGCCCGGCTCTGCCATAATATCCTTCTTTAGAACAGGTGCCCAAAATTGCACAGCATATTCAATAGGGGGTGTTACCAGTGATTTATAAAGAGGCAAAATGATATTCTCATCCCGATAAATAATGCCCTTTTTCATGCATGACAATACCTTACTAGCCTTAGCCACTGCTGATTGACATTGCACATTGTTGCATAGTTTGTTATCTATAACAATTCCCAAATCCTTCTCGTGTGTTGTTATCCCTAATTCACTTCCATTAAGGGTAAAAGTTGCTTGTGCATTCTTTATGCCGAAGTGCATAACTTTGCATTTTTCTACATTAAATTGAATCTGCCTTTTGAGTGCCCAGTCCCCTAGTCTATCTAAATTCCTCTGCAGCAAAGTGATATCTTGCTCACATTGTATTAATTTACAGAGTTTTGGGTCAACTGCAAATACTGAAACATGACTTTTAATTCTTTTTTCAAGATCATTTATAAACATTTTAAATAAACATGAAAAGAACCCTGAGCAGAGCCGGACTGACCCATCGGGATATCGGGAATTTAAATTATTCTCCCCTCAGACTGTGCCAGCCTGTGTCAGTCCGAGGGGAGTAACGAGGGAGGAGCTGGGGGTTGGTGCGGCTGCAATTACTCTGCTTGCAGCCGGAGGGAGACCTGTCAGTCTCCCTGCACAGTGTACAGCAAGTACAAACACATGCCCTGCCCCCACACTTAAGCCACTTCCAGAACACAAGCCTCTCCCCCAGATGGAAGCTGCTGACCTCGCTGGAATGAAGAGGCCAGACATTGACACCTTCACCTACCAGTGCCAGGTAAGATTTGTGTGTGTGTGTGCGTGCTAGTGAGTGAGTTTATATGTGTGTTTGTTTGCATCTGCTAGTGAGTAAGTGAGCCTGTGTGTGTGTTTGTGTGCATCTGCTAGTGAGTGATCTTCTGTGTGTGTGTGTGTGCATCTGCTAGTGAGTGTGTGAGCTTCTGGGTATGTGTGTGTGTGCGTGTGTGTGCATCTGCTAGTGAGTGAGTGAGTGAGCATCTATGTGTGTGTGTGTCTGTGTGTGTGTGCATCTGCTTGTGAGTGAGCTTGTGTGTGTATCTGCTAGTGAGTGAGTGAGCTTGTGTGTGTGTGTGTGTGTGTGTGTGCGCATCTGCCTGTGAGTGTGTGAGCTTCTCTGTGTGTGTGTGTGTGTGTGTGTGTGCATCTGCTAGTGAGTGAGCTTCTGTGTGTGTGTGTGTGTGTGTGTGTGTGTGCATCTGCTAGTGAGTGAGTGAACTTCTATGTGTGTATGTGGGTGTGTGTGCATCTGCTAGTGATTGAGCTTCTGTGTGTGTGCGTGAGTGTGTGTGTGTGCATCTACTAGTGAGTGAGCTTCTGTGTGTGTGTTTGCATCTGCTAGTATCTCATCTCATCTCATGAAGCAGACACTAGGCTGCCAAAGATGGGGTACATTGACGTTGTGCCAGGCTTATGCAATGTATGATCATATAACGTAACTAAACCCCCATTATTTTTTGCCTGGATTAGGTGTTTTAAAAAAAATAAATTTAAAAAAATGAACTAAATCTGTCAGCACTGAAGTTGCTGTTTAGAGGATAATGGAGTGTGCTTGTATATTCTGTTTCTATTGTATAAACTGGATCCCAGCAGCACCCTACTTATGCATATTCAGGTGAGTGCAGCCAGTCCCCGGTTTTCTCATCTGTTAGTATGTGATCTTCTGTGTGTGTGTGCCTGCTAGTGAGTGAGCTTGTGTGTGTATGTGCCTGCTAGTGTTTGTGAGCTTGTGTGTGTATGTGCCTGCTAGTGAGTTAACTTGTGAGGGAGCGTCTGTGTGTGTATGTGTGTGTGTGTCTGCTAGTGAGTGAGCTTCTGTGTGTGTGTGGGTGTGTGCATCTACTAGTGATTGAGTTTATGTGTGTGCCTGCTAGTAAGTGAGCTTATGTGTCTGCTAGTGAGTGAGTTTATGTGTCTGTGTGTGTGTGTGTGTTAGTGAGGGAGCTCCTGTGTGTGTGTGTGTGTGTGTGTGTGCTACTGAGGAAACTTCTGTTTGTGTGTGCCTGCTAGTGAGAGAGTTTGTGTGTGTGTGTGCTAGTGAGTGAGCCTGTGTGTGTGTGTGTATGTGTGTGCCTGCTAGTGAGTGAACTTTGTTTGTCTGCTAGTGAGTGAGCATTTGTGTATGTGTGTGTGTGTGTGTCTGCTAGTGAGTGAGTTTGTGTGTGTATGTGCCTGCTAGTGTTTGTGAGCTTGTGTGTGCGGGTGTCTGCTAGTGAGTTAACTTGTGAGGGAGCATCTGTGTGTGTATGTGTGTGTATGTCTGCTTGTGAGTGAGCTTCTGTGTGTGGGTGGGTGTGTGCATCTACTAGTGATTGAGTTTGTGTGTGTGCCTGCTAGTAAGTGAGCTTCTGTGTGTGTATGTGCTACTGAGTGAGTTTATGTGTCTGTGTGTGTGTGTGTGTGTGTGTGTGTTAGTGAGGGAGATTCTGTGTGTGTGT